TTCTTTGCTCATAAAATGAGAATAATAATGTACCTCAGGATGAAAGAAAAATGGGCACCTTGTAAAAAATAGCAATGTAAGTTGTAGGTGGTTAAGCACTTTTTCAGTTTTCAAAATAGCCTTTTGGTAACTATTTGTTGTTTTCAATTCTGTCTTAAAATATGGAACAAATTCATGGGCTCATAATTACTGGGTTCCTGCTACATGCCTGGCACTGTGTTTGTGTCCTGGGTATACAGCGATGAACAGAGCACATACTGTCCCCTGACTGTGAATATCTAGACTCTTCCACTAAAAAATCCCAAAACCTATTTTTAAAAACTTCTCTATAAAAATTCTTCAAATGTCCAAAAAAACAACCATCATGTGACTCTTGATTCTTGTAACTAATCTGCAGACCCTTTTCCATCCTTCTCTGCTCTCTACAGTTCTTTATGGAGGGACAGTATAGGGTAATGGAGTAAGACAAGTGGGGCCTTGGGAAAATTACAAAACGAACAAACAGAAAAACATGTCTCTGTGCCTCACTTTACTCATCTGTAAAATGGGGACAAGACTACCTGTTCTGGTGAGAATTGGATAAATTAATATGTATAAAGGTTTTGGGACCATGCTTAGCACACAGTTAAGTTTACTATCCTTAAAATGTATTCGTAGAGTCCATGATCGAAAGAGCAGCAGCATTTCATTTCACCAGGGAAGAAATTGTCCTCTGGGCCAGAAGGGTCACCAGAGATAGGCATTCAGGGGCTGGAGTGAGTTGGGGTGCCGATGGCTGGGCGGGCTGCGCTCTCCTTACCTCCTCTCTGACTTTTCGCTCTGCTTCCTCCTGCTTCCTCCTCTGCTCTTCCTCCTCCAGGACCTTCCTTCGCTCCTCCCTCTTTTTCTTCAGCTCCTCCAGCTCCAGGGCTGCCTCTTGTTGCTTCTGTTTGAGCTTCTCGAACTCTTCGCTCTCAGTTTCCCCACGACGGCGGCGCAGCTCTTCCAGGCGCTTGCCAGCCTCCACTTGGGGAGCCCCTTCCGCCTCCTTGGCCTCGCTGGCCCTCCCTCCTGAGCGGCTGGTGGGAGGAGAGAAAGGGATGCAAAGGGGTTTGACACATGTCCGCCTGCAGCCTTTCCTGGAGGGAGGGGATGTGGGCCTGCAGGCTTGGCCTCCCACACAGAAATCTCCACTGTCCGTCATTGGGCAGGAGATCCTCACACCGACCCAGGGGGTAGGCTGGGGCCCAGCTGGCATCTCCAGGTCTGAATCTGAGTCCCTGCGCTGCCACTTACCCTGGGTTTTCTCAGCTATACAATGGGGGCAAGTGGGATTGTGAAGTGGTGCAACCACTATGAAAAAAGTAGGGAGGCTCTTCAAAACATTAAAAACAGAACTCCCATATGATCCCACAATTAAGGAAAACACTGATTCCAAACAATATCTGCACCCCCATGTTCACTACAGCATTATTTACAACAGCCGAGATATGGAAACAACCTAAATGTTCACTGATGGATGAATGGGTAAAAAAAAAAGTGGTACATATTTACAGTGGAATATTATTTAGCCATAAAAAATCTTATTTAAATACTCATGAACAAGTAGTAAGGGCATTCTTAACTAGATCTGAACATAGGTAGCCCGTGTCCAACACTTTTGTCGGAGTAACAGATGAATTACCACTGCCTAGCGCAGGGGTGGGCAAACTTTTTGACTCGAGGGCCACAATGGGTTCTTAAACTGGACCGGGGGGCCGGAACAAAAGCATGGATGGAGTTTTTGTGTGAACTAATATAAATTCAAAGTAAACATCATTACATAAAAGGGTACGGTCTTTTTTTTTTTTTAAGTTTTATTCATTTCAAACGGGCCGGATCCGGCCCGCGGGCCGTAGTTTGCCCACGGCTGGTCTAGCACCATTTATTCCATGTGGAGAATGGCACAGTGTTTCTAGCTATGGAGCAAGAGGAAGAATAAAACAGAAAATAGTTCAAGATGACACAATTACTAATATTGATCTTATGTGTACATCACATGCTTTTAAAACACTGAGGTTCTGAATATACTGTGCCCTTTAGAACGACGCTTTTCAAGCTGCAGGTCAGAAAATCAATTCAGTGGACTGTAATCAGCATTTACAAAAAATGAACTAGGAAACATCAGAGAGCACTGCCGAGGGCAAAGGAAATGACCGTTTCTTGACATGCTGGTTCCAGTGATGCATGTAGACTTCACTGACTGGGTCATGATGTAAAATTTATTTCTTACTAAGAGCTGAGGTTAAAACGCTTAAAAATCGTATTCTAGCCCTGGCTGGTGTGGCTCAGTTGGTTGGGCATCGTCCCATGTATGGAAAGGTCTCTGGTTTGATACCTGGTCAGGGCACATGCCAGTTGCTGACTCAGTCCCTAGTGGGGAATGTGCAGGAGGCAGCCAATCGATGTTTCACTCTTACATCGATGTTTCTCCCTCTTTTCCCTCTCCCTTCCCCTCTCTCTAAAATTCAATAATAAAAATAATCTTATTCTAGGCACTTGATGGTTAAAAAAAAAGTGAATTCTTTTATTTTGGACTCAATCAAAGTTAGACGGCCCCTTAAAACTTGATGTTGCTCTTTCAGGTCTTCTAGGTTTATAGGCTTGTGACTTCAGAGAGGAAATCTGCTCTCTCAGTTAATCTAAGGTCTTTCCATCTTCAGAGACATTTGCTCTGTTGTGTTCATTATGTTAGTGCTCAATTGGACGAGCATAACACATGCCTTGTATAAACTTCTCTAGATTCCACTAGATGTCGCTCAGTCTTCATTTTGGACATTCAGAATGCCACCATTAGGGACTGGTTAAATAAATCACCATACTTCCATCCAGTGGAACAGGCTAACATCATTCGCTGTAGACTTATGTTTGTTGGTATAGAAGGCTAGCTAAGGTGCATTGCTATGCTAATGCAAGAATCAATTTAAAATGTAGATTTATAATTACACTCACATATACATGTTGCCTACATATGAGTGTCTATTTTGAATGTATATACATAAAAAATATCTGCAAAAATGTTACTAATGTTATCTTTGGGTGGTGGGTACTTATTTTTGTACTTCTATTTTCTGAATGTTTTATAATGAGTTCAATTTTTCTGATAATCAGAAAAAAACTTTAATTCCCACATAAAAAATAAAAAGAAAGCAAAACAAACGCTTGTTCTGTACTATCTATAAAACCTTGGTATAATCTAGCTCTATAAACTTGTTCCTTGAATTGAGATTTATATGTTAACTCTTAGAGAAAATGATCTAGTTATAAGAAAACAGAAATATCAAAGGGGATAGTAATTAAATCAAACACAGGAATTATGCTCAAAACAGGAACAAGAGTTTTGTCCATATTACCTCTGCTCACATGTGCTGGCATGCCCTCAGCATTAGGGTGTCATGAGTAATATGAAAATTTCTTCTAGAAGGCTCTCTCCGCTATCCTTGGCTTCACTGGGTTTTAAGTCAAGAAGAACATCAGACCTTTCACCAATAAAAACACAGCTGTGTCCTGGCCGGTGTGGCTCAGTGGTAGAGCCTCGAACTGCACACTGAAAGGGTTGTAAGTTTGATTCCCGGTCAAGGGCCCGTACCTGGGTTGCAGGTTTGCTCCCCAGCCTGCCAGAGGCAACCACATAGATGTTTCTCTCTCTCTTTCCCCCCTCCCTCCCTTCCACTTTTTCTAAAAATCAATGGAAAAAATATCCTCGGGTGAGGATTAACAAAAATAAATAAATAGCCCTAACCGGTTTGGCTCAGTGGATAGAGCATTGGCCTGCGGACTGAAGGGTCCCGGGTTCGATTCCAGTCAAGGGCATGTACCTTGGTTGCGGGTGCATCCCCAGTGGGGGGTGTGCAGGAGGCAGCTGATGGATGTTTCTCTCTCATCGATGTTTCTAACTCTCTATCTCTCTCCCTTCCTCTCTGTAAAAAATCAATAAAATATATTTAAAAAAAATAAATACATTTTCAAAAAACACACAGCTTGTTTTCAGTTAGGCTGGTAGACACTCTGCCAATCTAAATAGAGGCCCTTCCTCCCCAGCTCCTCACTTCATGGAGCAAAACCAGGCATTTCCGCTTCTATCATCACCGATTTCTATTGAAACTAAAACTAACACACGTTGGCAGCTAAACAAAAACTTTATGTTTCTGTCATTTTTGTCTGCCCAAAGATGAAAATCAAAGAGTCACATTTCAGAGTCCTCAGTGTGCAACCTGTTGGCATCCCTGCTGACTTTTCTCTTGGTGGAATTACCCAACTCCCTGGATTTCCACACAACGGACATGTTAATTATTAATTTGAATCTGGCTAAAGCTGGTTGGCAAGCTTGCTAATTGTTAACCAAACTTTCTACTGACAGATTTTTTTAAAGCATTATTTCTCTTAACGAAAAATGTATTCATATCAAACAACAAAACACTAACACTGTTAGGTAATGTTCATTGAACACGTCTCATGAACTTGACGCTGTTCTAGGGCTTAAAAACATTAACCTGCTGACACTAAGCAAGCTCTGGGCTCGGCTTACCTGCCCGAATCAACTTGCTTTCTAGATTTTCCATAAATTCCTGATAAACTCTTAAGTTTTCATATCTACTTTCCTGTCAATTTAGGCTTTCTATTGGTTAAATGTGATGCGGTTTCTGCTCAAAGTTTTGTATAGAAAAATTATGTTGACCCATCTCAGCTTCTTAGAGGGGCTGGAAACATCCCTCCCCAGTAGCTGTGCTTACTTCTGTATGTGACGAAGCCTTCATTGCGAGGCCCATGTCTGACTTCTACACAATACCTGCTTGGGACTTTCCTATTTGAAGTGTTCAGAAACACAGGGTCTACAGGCAAGGCTGCGTGGAAGTCCACGGTATAGGGACCCAGACTCTTCCAGAACATGGGACACAGCAGGAATGGGGCCCAGAGGTAGGGCTGGGGCCCAGAGAATTGTCCTTAGTGGGCATCTGCAACTTGAGTCCTTCTACAAAATTGGTTGGGAACTCTAAGTGTTCATTTACTTGTCCTAAAATCAGTTGCCCAGATTTTCAACATAATGGGATGAGGAGGAGAAGCTGAAGCTATGCAAGAGGGGTTCTAACTGGAGTATGAGTCGGATGCCTTCTTCTTCCCTCTCAGAGGTTCCCAATACAAACTAACACCAAGTGCTTTCCAAGTCCTATGGCAAAGAGAAATGATTGACTCAGTTTAACCGGATGTTTCCCAAATATTTGGCCACAGAACAATCCTAGTTTAATGCAGTATTTATCCACAGCCTTTAGAAAATACAATTTTGAAAATGGTATTGAGAAGGTCTCTTAGGAAGTCGCCTGGACCATATAGAGAATGAGTCAAAGATATGAATTCCAGGCATACTGTGTTCTACTACACTGATCTTACATGAGCATATCAGGTCAGGGACCAAAGCTTGGATGCCAGGCCTAACCTACGTTGCTAAATTATGGGAAAGGTGGATTACACTTTGCCTGAGCAATGACCGTGCCCTTCTGTTAGTGATTGATAGCCCGGCCTGCTGACTGAGTATCCCTGAGACAATGGCCAATGACCTCACAACAAAAGCATGTTGCCTATTCAGCACTTTCTGTCCAGAGGCACAGGATAGGAGGCTGATTTGTTTTTCACATGTGAAACACAGTCACTGTGAGCCACTACGTCTTACCTGAAGGTATTCTCCGTGTGTTTAAGCTTGTGGGTCATGAATTCTCCATTCTGCGACTTCACTTCTGTAAACCCCTTCTTTCCATCCAGGAAGCTCTTCACTTCTTCTCTGGGCTCTTTGTCCTTTTTAATCTTCTCATCTTTGATCTAACCAATGGTACACATCAGGAAGAAACATAACAATAAAAACCGTATTAGGTTTTGGTTGGTATCACCAAATGAGACCCCAGAGTGCTAGGAAGCCAGAAACCTCAGAAGTAAAACAAACCACCGTCGAACGATGTGGTAGAGATGGGGTCAGAGGAAATTCTTGGAGGCTGAGCGACGGTTCTCCAGCCTCTGAGCAAAGACCTTGACCACAGTTTTAGGAAGTCAAGATCATTCCTGATTTCACTGGGGGCTTTATTTTAGAAAGCATTGGAGGTATTACCATTGAAAACTATTACATTCTTGGAACTCCATTGACATGAGTGGTTTGCAGTTCCCAGTGGAAAGAACGATGATTGGGGTGGCTTTGATGGGAAAATGCCCAGGTTGCTTGGATAGGTTTCTTCTTGGGTGAAGAACACAAATGAGTTGAGGAGGAAAGAAGAGGAAACCTGACAGGTTAACCAGATCTGCCGAGCCAGTTTTAGCTGCTATCAGAGGAGGATGACCCTAGTATCCTAATAAAAAAAGTAACTAGGGCCCTGGCTGGTTTGGCTCAGTGCATAGGGCGTTGGCCTGTGGACTGAAGGGTCCTGTTTCGATTCTGGTCAAGGGCACATGCCTGGGTTGCGGACTTCTACCCCAATAGGGGGCATGCAGGAGGCAGCCGATCAATGATTCTCTCTCATCATTGATGTTTGTATCTCTCTCTCCCTCTCTGAAATCAATAAAAATATATTTTTAAAAAAGTAACTAGGATCTTCAGGACAGAGGACACAAGGGGATGGTTCGGAGGTCTGTGGGACCATGTTTGTAGTCTCTAAAGCACTAAGTTAGAATGGGATGGGAGACACTCCAGGGGTTACCTTGACTTCCAGTGCAGGCAATAATTTAGTCTCCAGAAGTGGTTTTGTCATTCTTGTGGGTCACAAAAGGTCATATATGAAGAACAGGTATTAACTAATATTTTCTGGGTTTCACGTTACAAGTTCCTCATGGTAAATAAGAGATTATTTCAAAGTAAACTGAATTTACATAGCTTTTTTGGGGGTAAAGGAGTACAAATGACTTTGCCTATATCATCTCACCCATTCTTAAAAGATGAGTGTGAGAACGGGGGAGGTTCCACATTGCTCTTTCCAAGAAAACAGAGAAAGCACTAATGTTCTACAGGAGCCTACGGAGCAAGGGTGAGGCATCAGAGCTTAGGATTTTAGGTGCTGCCTAGATGGTCTCCGCTTCCCTGAGAACTCACTTCTGTCCAGTTATTCTTCAGATACCCCCTGAACATTTATTATTAATGTGCATGTTTTACTAAGTAGAGTACTTTTTTAAAAAAAAAATCTTTACTGATGAGCCTTCAATAGTCCTTTCCCTGACTTCCTCCTTTGGGTATTATTTGATTAAATTACTATGGATGGACTATTCTGCAGTAATTTAATGGGCAATTATCATGTTGCCCTAATTAGTTAAAACTTTAACCTTTCTCCAAGGGGTATGATATGATATCCCTTGGACATGCTCAAGAAGGGCGCTATTGTTTTGCCATGCTCTCTGAGAGTTTTGTCTGGAAGTCAGGAAACCTGAATTTTGGTTCCAGTGCTATTGACAAACTAGCTGTGTTACTTTGATTACGCCACCTAACTTCTCTAATCCTTCATCCTTTCATTTCCCTCCTATCCTCTCAGTTGTCATGAGGGGCTACAGAGAGGAGAAGGAAGCTCCTGGCTTGTTCTACAGCTTGGTGGCTGTCCTGGCTTGTTCTACAGCTTGGTGGCTGTCCTGGCCCAACCATATATCAGTACCCATGGACAGGCAGGAGCTGGCAGGGTCAGCCCAGAAACCATGGACTGGATTATATATCTTGGTTAAGAAGTATCTGGGGATATATATCTTGGTTAAGAAGTATCTGGGGATATAAATTTGGGGATGAGAGGGGTCTCATTTTAGAAAACGCATGAAACAAATTCGGAGTCAAATCTCATGGGTTGTGAAATAGATGAAATACCCTTTAACTAACTTTTCCTATTTTGGAGTCAGAGACATTTCCATTCTTCCCAAATGCATTATCTAATTTACTGACCAAACATGTATGTAAAGTAGATTTGTAAAACAATACATGTTTCCTTCAAGCTCTGCCTTTATTGGCAAAGGCTATGGTGGATGTTATGTTTATATTCTTTTTGGAAGACTTCCTTAGGAAAATTCCCAGTGAAAGCATGATAATTTGAGTTTGCAAATTATTTTATCTTTTTGGGACATGAATAAGTAAAGCAATTCCACAACGTATTTACATATTACTTTAAGGAGCACAGTGGATTGGATTGGATAGCAGATTTAACCCAAGCTCATGGGATTCTGAATCATTTGGGAAAAGCATTAGATCTAGGTCAGAATGTTATCATTCAGGAAATCTGTGCTGATGGATTAATGGGTAGCCAAGTATTCTGTAAAAGTTAATGTGCTTCATGGACAGATAACATTAGCAAATGAAAGGCTGGCCAAATATGATCATTTGGCTAAAACTGGGTATTTGGGATATCCAATGGGATAACACATGGGTGTGTGTGGGCGGGAATTCCAGCGGCATGACCCTGTGCCAGAGACATTCCAAGTGTCAAGTGAGCAGGTCATAAAGGACTGCTATGTCAGTCTTTGTAGTTTATTGTTTTGCATTATTTGATTCCAGAATAGTGACAAGACCGGGTGCAAGTCACTGTTCTTTTCAGATTAGGTTTTAATGCACGTTTGTTAGACTCAGAAGCCTCAGTTCCTTCTTTGGGTCCAATATATAACTCATAAATGTCCTTGCTACTGAAAGTCTGGTCCACGGACAACACAGACCTCACCAGAAGCTCAGGTTCTACCCAGAGCCAGTGAGTCAGGTTCTGCGTTCCCTAACATCTCCTGGTGACTCGCATGCACACCAGCGTTGGGGAGATTTGGACTAGATGCATGAATGTCAGTTTCAACATTGTAGGAACAACTCCCCCGGAAGCGGTTTTTCTGTTAGAGGTGGGCGAAGGCTGTGTGTGTGTGGGGAGGTTGGGGGATGGGGGAGGGAGAGAGCTTTAGGGTAAAGAACTAAAAAGAACTTTAATCAATAAAGAAAAGAAAAGAAAGAATAATAATAATAATAAAAGAACTAAAAAGAGACATTTTATGATTGGAGAGGAGAACAAAAAAGCTACATTAAATTTCAAGGTTGGTGATCATCTGCCATCCATTGCCACAAGCAATAAAATGTTTTCTACACTTAAAAAAAAAAAGAGTTAAACCACAGTGGGAGAAAGAAGATGCTCTGTAAGGTGTTGGAGTCTTTTGGAAATGTTTTCTCTAAGAAGGCTTACATGATGTTTGTGTTTATCGTGGTTGACCGATCCTGCATTGCTCCTTGAAAGAAAAGGCTTCTTAATTTTTTTTTAACAAAAAGGAAATTAAAAAAAAGGAGGAGGGTGTCTGAAATGGCTAAATCACATAAAATAGGATTTAAAGTCATCTATATACAGCAACCACACAGCTAGCTGGAGAGGGGAAAACCTAGTCATTCAACTAGTAGTTTATGTACGCCACATTAAAATAGGAATGGCAGATTAACAAAAAAAATTTTTAATCCTGTGCAGAGGAGCTTATCTGGCCTCGTATAAAAAGGGGCCCCGGGTTTTGGGACAGTGGAATGTGCTGTAGAGCAAACTGGGAAAGAGGCAGCTCTGAAGGCATTGTCCCGGGGGCAGTGTTGAATGGGGGGGTGGGGGGGGGGGGCAAAGGGAGGATCTGGATGGCGGCGTGAGCTCTTCCCAGCTCCCACACAGCACACAGACCAGAATGCTCTGGTCACTGAAAGCCAATCAGAGCCTGTGAAATGAGTTACATTTAGAGTACAGAGTCCAAACGTGCTTTTCCAGCTCCCAACCCCAACATAAACTTAATCACTGAGCTATGGTCTCATGCCCTCTCCTTCCTGTAAAGATTTCCTCACCAAACACT